CCAGCTCACATAAGGCATACGCAAAATCCACATTTATTTACTGCAATGCACAATTTTTTCATAATTCTTTATCAATTCAGCAGTGTTATACCATAAATTAAATAAAGACATTGAAAACCAACTGCAAGGGAAAAATATTGAAGGAATCTTTTTAGAGTCATATGATGGTCTTATTCTTCTTTTAAACTTCAAAGAACTACTTAACACTTCTGTATTTCCATTTTTTTTCCCTTGGTACTGATGACCTCTACAGGCTTGTCACAGTTTCCAGCAGTGAAGAGACAATGTATTTAACTGACCTGCTTTGCCAGTCTTGAGGTTCTCTGTGGAATATGCAATGAATTTCATTAACCAAATGCCAAACAAACGAAGTCAGTCTCCTTGAGTTTCACTTGGAAAGTTATTGGTATTTAGAGATGCGTATTATTTGATGAGATGTACTGTACATAAACAGTGCTGAATTGCCTAACATGTTAGCAGATCCGAAGTCTAAGCAGTCTCCCCTGCTTCCCAATTTGTGATTGCAGGGTTCATTGTAGTGTGCCAAAATATGATACTTCACTAGCAATTGTAAATGTATAGAAACACATTGCAATATTTCTGACCTGGTGATTCTCTTGATCTTGGTGTGGAATAGCAGAATTCCTAACCTCCTAACAGAGGCATTGCACAAATAGAAGCAACAGACAAAGATATTGTCCTCATTGTGACAACTAAGAAAATAGCAGATCAACGTTAACATGCATGTAGACCAATTAGTTGGACTTGGTGACGAACTTGATGATCAATACTATCTGTAAAACTATCCAGGTAGTATAGGGGACTTGTGCGAATCAAGGAGCAAATCCACAGATGTTATGTTGTGAGAGCAGGAGCTCATCCCCACAGCCCCTGTAATATATCAGAATGTTTTTGGGAAAAAAAAAACAGCAATGTCTCATGTCAACCTGGTCTTACTGTTTTGTGAATTTGTATGGTCTGGAGTAAAATTCTTTGGGAGCCACCTTCATTAGTTTGTGTGTGTGTGTGTGCACTCAGATGCGGCTTTTAGTAAGGCTGCTGCCAAAGCCATAGCACGAAGTAGGGGTTTGTGATGACACAAGTCATTTGTTTATTATCAGAGTTCTGTTTACTTTTACAGTACAGTATGTCTTGTCCGTGATGTCTGGAGCATGTGAGTACCAAGTAGAATGTTCTAAGTTGTGAAACCATTTAAAAAAATTATGCTGTGGATCCATAGCCCTGCTATATGGGGAATATATTAGTATCGATCACCTTTGAAATTGGAGATATAAACCCTTTCGTTTTTGTTTCAGAGGGAATTGTATTTAGGAGGATTAATACTGTTTGTACTGTCTCAGTAATCCCCTGGCTAAGAAAGATCTCAGGGTTACAACAAGGAGACTTTTCTAACTTGTAGAAGGTTAAGCCAAGTTTTTGTTTCTTTGTTCCAAAAAGGTATGAAATGTGTTCCCTATCCTGTTAAGTTTAGACTCTCATCTGTGCACAATAAATGGTGCTATTTGATTTGTAGACACTGGTGCTCTGTCTTAATAGTGGGAAAATCCATCTCTCTAGGGACAAGGGAGTCACACAGTACCATTTTGGGGGGACAGATATGCTACATTTATGGTGTAAGGAGTATGCTATAAGGGATATAGTAATGAAATTCCCTTGTACACCCAGCAACATCCTCATAATTCCTGGGCATTGAGCCACAGCACTTGTACTGAAAACTAATTGCACATTTTTTTGTGCCCTAAAGCACACTCCAATATAGTCGGTCTCTATGATATAGGTCAGCTCCTCGGTTGCACCCATCGCAGATGAGGAGCTACCCCAAGGAGCCTCGGAGAAAGCTGTGAGGATTAGATTCTTGCCACCACAGTTTATTCATTCAAATGTGCTTCAGGTTACTCTGAAGTGCGGTTCAGCCACTGCTTGAGCCATATTGAGCCGTGACGTAGGGGTACACCTAAGGACAAGCAGTTTTGTGTCCATTTAAATGCTAGTCTTTTCTCTGTTTTATGCACTCTCCTCCCCATATTTGCGCTGTTACGTTTGTCCTCGAGACAAGTTTTGAAGTTGTTGCTACGGACCAATAGCCCCACCGTGTGGGATACTATAAGATCTTCCTCATAAGGGAGAAAGGATTTAAACCCCTTTACTCCAATCATCTGGGAGAATGTCATGAGAGAGAGAGCTTGTATTTCAACTTCACCTTAAAATTCATAATATAGACATAAGGATCAGCCCTCACAGCCTGTATTAAATCAACTGAATTAGCTTTAAAGGCTAAACCAGCATTTATGTGTTTTGAGTCATCCATTCTTTTCTTTTTGAGATAGAATGTTAAACCCATGTTATGTTTTTATTCAATCTTAATGTTTTGTTCAATATTTTGATTTTTTTTTAATGCTGCAGAAGGCTGGAAACGGTTCTTCCGATGTTAGGGGACGGAGCGAAGTAAAAAGGTGTGCAAAGGAAAGAAAAGATAAAATTCAAAGGAGCGCACGGCTCTCAGGCGAAATAAAAAGAAGCTGGCGACACGACGCAGAAAAGGAAAAATAAAAACAGATATTTTTTTCTGGATCGAAGTATCGTACGTTTAAAGATAAAATAGAGTTATAGTCTAGATTGAAGGAAGGGGTTGCGATCGCTAGGTTCGCGAGTTTAGCTCTAATGACGGAGCAGAGATGGGGCTTTCTGAACAGACCTGGTGTAACACGATGGACAGGCGAGCATCGACAGAAAATCGGGCTCTTCTTAACGGAGAACACAGCACATTATTAATCGGACGTGTGTCCGGCGCAGCAACCACAACAGAGGGGGAGAGAGAGGCTATCAGGGTACAACACACTGGGGTCAACTTTTGTTTCCAAATTTGGAAGTTTAATAAAGCTGAGTCAAGAAAGAAGTTGACATTTACTTGTCCTTCAAGCATTTCTGAATGTTTGAGATTGACTAATCGCATTTATTGCGGTCCCAGAGTGATTTGTCAGCTTTTCTGCACATTAGGGCACATAGCTATATTCCCTTATATTGGTTTATTTGCAGATTTTACCATCGTAAATAAAACTGTATTTTTTTAATGTGTGTACATCGCTGTTTGTTTTGACTGATTCCAAGTTGCCATATGGTACTCTGAATTAACTGTCCTCTTTCTAAGTAAATTAAAACCACCAGATCTGTACATCGATTAGTTCACATCTCTTGGTGGCAGATCCTTTAGCTACAGGGCCCATAAATTGTGCAATGACTTTCCAAAAAACAAAATACAAGAGATGCCCCTGTTCTTAAGTTGAGGCTGAAAGCTTATTTCTTTAGTCTGTTTTTCTTAACCTGTAATCTAATGATTGCTCCCAGTGTTATATAATTTGCACTGGGATCCAACACTGAACATGCATTTCCTGAAGGCCTGGCATTAGCACCTGAAACTAGACTCAAGATGGATAGCATCCAGAAAACACCAGCTACTTTATTCAAATTCTGACAGGGCAGGATTCCAATTTGACAAGTACTGCAAGACTTTCTTTTAGAAGGAAGGCAACGTATAGGCCTGTCAGCTATCTCTAGACTGTATAAGGTATGATACTTTGACTGTATATCTCATATATACAGTGTATATATATAGACTGTATATATGATACTTTATGCATGATCTGTCCTGTTTGATTTATAATGGAGACAGACCAAACTGATTAGGTCTCAAGAATACAACTCACCCCACATTCCGTGAGGATGTCAAGATCAAAATGTGGCTAATTCCAAAAATGTCCCCAGATCCCAATTGTGGCAGGTTTGATCAGTGAACTCAAAAGGTGAATTATCAAACCATGCAGACACTAAATAGACAGCTCACACTCACTGATTAAGTGGTTTCTATTGAGTCAAGCACACACATCAAAACTGTCACTGCCTGAATCAAGAAAATGGTATAAAGAAGTTTGTTTTAACAGAGTTAAGACCCCTGCTGAATCTAGAGGTTGCACTGCTGCCATCTTGCTACCACTTACTCTCCTGCTGTTACAACAAAGATTCAGAGAAGATTTGAGCCACTCCTTTGCTTTTGCACAACTTGGGTAAGCAGTTCAAATAAACTTTGACAATTTTATTAGGGCTTTGTAAAAGAGTTAAATTTCTACATGATCAGAATCCTTTCCATAATTTTTAGCTTAAGTCTCTTCGATCACATGACTTGTAAATAAAGCGAGAGGGGGATCATATGCATTGGTTAAACGAAAGCATTAGGTTTTTACGTACAATGGAATCGGTTTCTTTCGTGTTTCTGTTTCACAGCTATGTAAGGGGCTTAACAAAAGGGGAAGTGAAGCATTGAAAACTGTAGAAATTCTGTAAATTACAAAGATGCAAATGTACACAGAGCGAAACTGCGTTAGTATCCACTAATAAGCATTAAAAAAGAAAAGTATTAAAACTGCGTCCATCTTAAAAAGTCACAGCTTCCACGATTGTAAATCCCTGGAATACGAAGAGCTCAGGTTTGTGATAGGAGTTGTGGACCACTATACTGTATGTTGCGAACTGTAACATCCCGAGAGGCCAGCTCGTAGCACTGACCCCACAGGTCAAAGGCGAAGGGGAAAGTTCGTCACATTTGATCGAATTGGTCTGTTCGTCGAGTTGCTTACCAACCTTGTAAATATTTAATTGTGATGGTAACTGTTCTTTAAATTCTGTCCAGTGTCTTTTGATTTCATTTAAGAATATTCAACACGGAAACATGTGTTATGTTTTATCCTGCATATATTTGTCGATTAACGTTGTAATGTTGACAGTTTAGCATACGTCTTGTTTCTTATGAGGCTGAAGTTGGCTTCTCATTTTTTTTGCGTTTTGCGTTCCACCTTAAATGCTGCTGCAGTGATGTTATGTCGCCTCTACAGTTTTACTTAATGTTCGGCGGATTATTGTCCTATACAATTTTAAGCTACACTATACATAATTTCTTATCGCAGTTGTAGTTAGTTAATGGTTGTCTGTATTGCTTTGGTGCTATGGTAATGCATAGTTCATGCTGATAAAGTCACTTGAATTGATCATAAGCTAAACTCCAACTCGCACATCACTGTCACGTGAAGTTACAAAACCACACCAAGCCCGGGACTGGTGGGGTTTGCATCAGAACAAGCGAATAGTTAACAGCGAGGGACTATCTACAATTTATTGTCCTCTGTAGCAAATGATATAATTGTCCAGAGATACTGTACGTTGCATCATTCTAACAAGTGCTCAAAACAGATGAACGCGCCATGGCACAAACAGCGTGTCGTTTTCTGCTGTTTATCATGCAAGTCTTTTTTTAGATTACAAATCAATTGGCTTGGATGATTAGCTGCAATTCGAACAATTAAGCTTCCTTGAACTTGCTATTTTAATACAGGGCAGGGCAGGGGAGGAGTTACAGTGCTCCACTACAACTGGCAAATAGCAACTGGCGGAGGCAGTGGTAGGTTATGTTATAGTTGATAAAATACGGTTTTTTTCCACCACTCTTTGCGTATAAAATACTTTCCTCTTAGCTGCGTTTTACGTTTGAAAATGACTCGATGAATTGTTTATTAAGTGTTTTCCGTCCATAAATGATCAGTCGGTAACCTGGGGAATCTGCATCGTGTTTCGTAAGAGAAAAGGAGGGGAAGATCACTAAAATCGATTGCACGATAAATTGTCTAACGAAAAAAAAACGAACATTTACTTCGTAATTGCAAGCATTGTACGTAGGAAGCATGCCGACTTGAATGACCTCTGTGATGCGAACGTCAGGCACTTCTCATCTTCGACTTCTGTAAACGGGGGGCGAAGGGTTTTGTAAAAACCGAACCGCTTTGGCGATTGTTTTTCACTGGATCGCAGTTTTGCAAAACGTATTCATTGCTCTCCGAGTATAAATGCGTTATTATATTTTTAAACATTGTACACCAACTACAACCTGCGAGACATGCATTTCTGTTTATCTTGATAAATGTCGTACGTCTGGTTCAACAAGTTGTACAGTGAAGTTTATAGTTTGCAAATGGAGTTTCTTAAATGAGAGTTAAGCTTGCTCTGGAATCAGTTGATAAGTAGTAAAAGAGGCACCGTGACATCATTAAGTGGTAGCTTACATTGATAAAGAGTCTTTAAAAGTAACCAACTGTGGGTTTTTACTTTTCCTCCATTATGTAAGGCGTACTGTACACAAGTCGGGTATAGTTTTAAAACCATTTCCTTAGTTACAGCATACATAATGATGCCCACAAGTTTTGAATAAGCGATTTCCAGTTCTTGGCAATTCTAAGAATGAACTTTTGTACCTTTTACTATCACTGTATTATTATGTACTAGGATTGTAATGAGCGGTAGAGCAAGGGAAATATCATTTAATATGTACATAGGTTAGGTCTTAAGCAATTTTGGACCCGGGTTTTCTAGGCTAGAGCTGTAAGTGGAGGAGGAAAACTACACCCAAAAGGGCTCAGAACGTTTCATAATTGAAACTCTTGAGCGTCACGTTTTTGCATTTTATCAATTGCATTTCACCAGCCTACAACAATTTTTGGTTTCCAGGTTTTCGGCTGAAAAAATGCTGTCCAGAATCCCTATTTCTACGGGAATCACTGCCCAGAGGATAAGCAAACTCATCACGTTTTATAAGAACGAGTCCAAGGTGGCCTCTTCGCTCTCACAGGCTGGCCACAAGCCTGTTATGTTGCTGCTTCCCTGGCTGGGGTCCCGCCCTCAGGCGGTGGCCAAGTACTGCGAGATCTACTTCAGGACAGGCTTGGACGTCCTGGTTGTGGAAAGTGATGTCACCCAGTTTCTCTGGCCACGACGGGGGCTGGACCACGGTGCAAAGGTACTGGAGCTGCTACAGACGGACACGTTTAACTCCCGCCCACTGCTGGTTCACGGCTTTTCCATCGGAGGCTATACTTTTGCTCAGATAATGGTCCACGTCACCAGGAATGCGCAGCAGCACCAGAGCTTGACGAATAGGATCAGAGGTCAGATCTTCGACAGCCTAGTGGTGGGTTCTGTGGAGCACATGGCATCAGGTAAGCATGCTGCAAAGAAAATCACACCGTGAAGGGCACCTCTGCACATAGGTGTCGGAGGATCGGTTGCGGTTGTAGTTTCATTTTGTGTAATAAATATTCTAACAGAATCAATTATTATGCTTCTAATAATGAGCGGGAGGGGGTTCTAAGAGTGACTCATTTTGTGAATTAAGTGACCAAGTATCATATTCTAGAGAGGTGACAGTCCAGAGATTCCTCATTTAAACAGCGTGTGTGATCATAAGCTGTAAATTTCTTGAAGAAAAATCTTCAGCTTTCAACTGTTTGGTATAGGTCCAAAAGAGGCATATACTGTGGTTTTGGGTTGGTCATGCTGCAAAAATATAAAATTACTTTAGGCAGGACAGCAAGCTTCCAAGCCACACGAGTACAAGCTGAAGCTGGGCAACTGAGCAAGATCCACATATCGGGTAGCTATTAAAAACTAAAGGGACAGGACACACTGAATGGCTTCCTCTGAGTTGTTCTTATGGTCTTAGATGATTCACTAGAATGTTGTACTGTTGCACTGGTGATTGTCTCCACATGCCATGAAATGGATTGGTCTCTGAAACTACAGTGATTCTGAACCTCTGCTATGCTCTCCCTATGACCTGCACCTTTCCTCCTCCGATTTTAATATCTTGTGGCCCCAGAAGTTGGCCACTGACTTCAAACGATAAACAATCTTTGAAATGTCGCAAAAACGTTTTAATAGATTCAAACGTTGGAAGCTTGTCATAGTAAATATAACAAGGTAAAGATATTAAAACTTTGCTATTTTACCTCATTACAGTTAAACCAAAGCTAGGGTAAGTTAGCCCTATTTAAGTGAATTTAAAAGGGCATTTGTGTTAGTACTGAATTTTTTTTTTTTAGGAGTTGGAAGGAGCATGTTTCCACGATTTGAAGGGCTGGTGCAGAAAGTCAGTCTTCTTTATTTTAGTCTCTTTAAGAAGTATACAGTTGATTACTACAATCGTGCCATAGACGTCTTCTGGAACAATCCAGTAAGAGCTCCAGCTTTATTTTTCTACTGTGACAATGATCCGCTCAGTGACTGTGAAGAAGTAGAGAGAGTCACTCGGCATTGGGAGAAACTTGGCATTCCTGTCAGGACGATGCGCTGGAAAGAGTCAGTACACGCTGGGCACCTGAAACAGCACCCACAGGATTACCTGATGGCCCTCGACAGCTTTCTACAGTCTCTTAGTGTGATCCCTTTGAAAGCTAAAATCTGAAAATGCAAAGCAGCTTCAAATTCATTGTAAACACGTTTCTAATAAATCATTGTAATCTATATCAAATTTTGAAGTTTCGTGAATCTATTAAATTTTTATATCAAAACTATTTTCACCATGTGATATCTTTGTGAATAAATAAATTGGAATAAAGATCTACAGTAGTTGCATGGTTGTTTTTGCCTACCTGGAAAACAAAGTGAAAGAGGAGTGGCCCTAACAAGAGAAAAGAACAGGTTTTTAAGGACTCAACTTGTCAAGAACTCAAGAGAACTTGATGTTGTAGTTCTCTTTTCAGATGCATGGACCGGTGATTGTTAAAAGTAATGTGCTGTGTAGTTTTCAGTTTTACCATGTTTAATGCAATTAATAGAGGGAAAAAAAACAAAAGATGCTTTTGTAGAGAAAAACAATTTTCTTTTTGTGCCACCTCCACTGCAAAATGGAGCAGCAACTTTGTCGGACAGAAAAAAAAACTGTTTATTTTTTAGATGTTGTCTCAAACCTTATCCAAAGATCTTTAAAGTTTTAGGGCCCCTACCAAATTGATGGTCTTAAGGTGGTAAAAATAAAGCAACACTCTAAACTTCTGTGCTCTCCATATGACCTGCACATTGCCACTTCTTATGGGCCCAGAGAGATGGCCACCGACTTCTCTGCAATATTTCAAAGAATGTTTGGAATAAATCCGATTCTAACTAATACAGTGTAATAAATGGCTATCAGGGTAAAGGAGAAGTGTTAAAATATATTGAATAATGACGACCGTGTTAAAGAGCCTCAAAAGACACCTGTTACTTCAGTGAATTCAGACAGTTAGAAGCTTCCCATGCAACATGTTTAAGAATCAAGGATATCAATTCTAAGTTATAAAAACTTTGCTTTTAAAATTTTGCTCCATACAGTTGAACCAACTCTTGGATAAGTTACCACTGTTTAAATGAACTTAAATTGTGATTTGTGTAAGTACTGAACAATTGGGTTTTATTTTTTCTTAGGAGTTGGAAGGAGCTTGTTTCCATGATTTGCAGGAGGTCACTACACACTGGGCACCTGAAACCGCACCCACAGGATGACCTGATGGCCCTTAACAGCTTTCTACAGTCTCTCAATGCAATTCCTTTGAAAGCGAAAATGTAAAGCAGCTTCTTAGTTTCAAGTGCATCTCCATCTCCATTTCTCCCAGGTCTGTCTGTCACCCAGGTTCTTTGGCTGCGATTGTGGTCACTGAGCCTGTACTTCACCAGGGTCCGTTTCTCTTTGCTGTTTTTTTTCCCCTCAGATATTCGGCTACTGTAGTGTCTATTGTCTGTTCAGGGTTCTGTAGCATATCAGTTTGTTGTTTGCAAGCGTGCGTCCAAGTCCATGAGATTTGGCCGATTCTGATTTGGGATGTTCAAGTGCGGCACTGTCCTGAGGCAGGCTGGTGTTGGTGGAGTGAGCTTCTGGACCACCTGGCTCAGAGGACTCTGGAGATCAGCAGGACCTCGTGGTGGTAGGAAGTTTTCACTGCTTTTTGCATGTAACCAATACTCTATTGCTGGCCTTTCTTTCTCAGTCTTTGTCTGGCACCCCTGACAGCCACTCAAATTCCTTTCCTATCAGTCTAAATATAGACTGAAGATCTTTTCTCCAAGAGACTCCTTTAAATACTCAGCGGAAAACAGTGCACATGCCAAGTAATGTCTTCCAAGGTAAGTTTGGTATTGTCTGCAGTACAGGTGGCAGTTCTGAAACGATGGACCACTCTGATGTGTCGGTCCTGCTCTGGTGTGGTCACTCGAGGGCGACCGGATCTTGGACATTCATCTGTCCTGCCGGTCTGCTGAAAACTCTGTAGTCAGGACACAGTGGAGCGGCTTACTCCATAGTGTCTGGCAATGCTGGCACATTACATACCAGCCTGCAGCATGCCAATGGCCCTCTCCCTTGTGTCTGGTGACATTTGAAGCATTATGGAATGAACAGAAAACTGACTAAATGTGGCTTTTTCTTGCAGTGACCTAAGCTTTGAATTAAGGCCTTTTTAAAGGTGACCTGATCAGGCATTGTTCCACCTGGACCTCGTTGGGTAAAACTGCACCTAACGAGCTTTCGTGTGATTGGCAAGTTGCAATGCCTCACTGCACAAGCTGTATTGCTGGTCAGAGGGCTTAAAACTAATTGACAACTTTTTGTGAAAGTACAAAATACAACTATAGTATTCTCATTCCAGAAAATGTTGCGTTTATTCCCCACCCCCACCTCCCCATCAGTATACATTTCTTACCATTTCCTTAACAACAATAACAAAAGTTCAAGAGGAAAAGAAACACCACAATAGATTTTAAAGTTCTGAGGGTTTTGCCCGGTATTTATAATCACTACTACAGAATGATTAGGTACAGGTGTACTTAATTGAATTAGTTTTGTTTTGGGAGACAACTGCCGATAAAAGGAATGCCCTCTCAAAGTACCCTACCCCTATCATTTGTGCTATATTATAAGAGTTTTACTTCTGCGTTGCATTGATGATCCCTGCCTGTAGACCTCCCACATGAAAAATGTATTTAGTTCATCTACAGCATTATCTGGGTGTCTTCCCATCACTTATTTTGGGATTGCCCAATCTAAAATGATCCTAACACGCACACCAGCATGGAGGAGGGTATTGCAGGCTAGAAGCACCAGAAAAAAAAGGTAAGTTCTTAAAAAATAAGCAGAAGCAAAAAAAAGATAATGATTTTAGTGTAATATGTATAAAGTGAAAGCCCAAATAATAGAATTGGCATCACATCCTTTTATATTTTTGTTAAACTTTTTTCTTCCTCTCATCTAAGATCCCTGATGAAACTGGCCATTTTGTAATTTATTTAAAGAATACTTATGTGGGAGGTTTCTAAAAATGACTCGTAATGGATGAAGTGACCATGTATCCTTTATTGTAGAGATCTAACAGTCCAGAGTCCCTTATTTCTCAAGGCATGTGGTCAGAAGGCTTATGTTTCTGGAAAACAACTCTTCAGCTGCTCTTTATTTGGCAGAAGTCCAAAGAGGTGAAAGTTGAATGAGATGTACTGTTAACAGGGTATTTTGGGGTTTGCTGTGCTGTACAAATAACTTCAGGTTAAATTAAGTTCTTGGATTATGAACCTTGCTAAACCTGTTACCCTACCTTCTTTCAAGAAACAGCTGAATAAGATCCACAGATCAACTAGCTATTAACCACCTAAGTGACAGGATGGTCTGAATGGCCACCCTGTTTTTACCTTACACGAGATGAGTCTCTCAGTGACATTACACTGGTGATTGTGACTGCACTAGCCATGGAATGGATTGTTAACTTGTCTGAGAGACCACTCTGAATTTCTACCATGTCCCACCTGGGTTCACATCTTGTGATCCCAGAAAGATGGCTATTGACCTCAAACAATCTTTAAAATGTTGCAAAAACTGCAAGAAATCAGAGTAACAGGTGCAGTGCAGGTTAGGCTAAAAAGGGCATTAGGATAAAAGTTACGGAAATACATAATTAGTACTGTTCAGTACCCTCAAAAGACACCTTTCAATTTAAAGGAAATCAAAGCCTAAGTAATTTGGACTTAACTTAAAGGGGAACTGCAACACTATTTTTATATTTTGGGGTTAGAAAGAATCAGCATTGAATGCATTTCAACTAACTTGTAAAGCCTCCCAATTTGCATTTAACACAACAGAAGCAAAATGTAAATTGGGAGGAAAAAATATCGCAGTATATGGGCTCCGCCAGACTCCCCCCCAACCTTCCTGCATGCTTGAGACATTAACGCCATCCTGTTACGGAAACACATACTAAAACTGGAACGGTACAGAGAGCGTTTCAGGTCACACTCGACTGTTGCCTCATCCGTGTAATCCAGCATCTTCTCCCCGCTCGCCCGAGTTCAATGGTCTCTTCCAACTTGAGCCGTTTTAAGAATTTGTATCTTCACCCTCCCCACTACAGCACTGACTATGAGACCGTTTGATAACTCGTTTTCTTTTTTCCTCCGTACAGCGAAATAGTACCGTGAACAGAGCCCCCAATCTAGCATGACTGATACCGTTAGACCAAGGACGCCGAGCCATAAAGATAAGACGAAACCGGCCTTGGTAGCACGTCCTGGTTTCTCTAGCGCCCCTTATACAGGAAACAACCACACAAACTCCTTTCCTCTCTAAGTCTAAATATAAACTGAGAGCCCAGTCTCTGGGGCCCTCCTTTAAATATTATCGGTGGAATGCGGCGCACCTGTCGGCAATGGCTTCCACGCCAGGTATTTAGCTCTCGGCATGCTAGTGCAGTAATCCACGCAGAGCTCTCCAGGTATTAGTGTTATTCTTGGTATAAATTATTATTCTACGGACAACGCCCTCGTTAATGACGCCCTCTTCTGGCGTAAAGCCGGTACAAAGATCTTGTGATTTTTGTCATGCTGTAAAAAGTTACAGAAAAAGAGAAAAGGCTATTCTTATCATCTCTGTCAAGGTCAGTATTATCACTGACATTTGTTAAATTTCTGTGTTGATTTTTTTTCACCGCCTACTTGCTTTCAAACATGAAATATAATCTAACAGAAATCGAACAGTGTTTTCAATAAATTAATATAAGAACTCCTTGCAGTAGTACGGTGCTTTTAACCATCAAAACACTTTACACAACTTCATCCACCATTTAGCTTTTGAGATCTAGTAAAATGCCAGATTAGACTACTTGTGGTAAAGATTTGTTCCATATGAAAACGCAAGGAAAGGCTGTGCTGGGATTGCATTATATTATAAAAGCGAGCAGTCAGTAGTATGCAGTGTCAAACCTGTCACTTGACCCTGTTATGTGAAGTACAGTGTTGACGTGATTTAGATTAAGTGATGATGCAGAAATGGGTTTTAAAGACAGTAAGAGACGTACCAAACGATGTCTAACATACCTGTAAAAGTATATTTTAATCTCATAACTCCTAACTGAAGTAAGAATGAAATCACGGAATATCTTTAAACGTAAAACTTGTTTAATGACTCTGTCATGAGGGGAGATAAATGTAAAAATACATAACATAATCAGGACAAACGATTATTTATTAGGTTTTCGTTAGGAACGAAATGTAAGTCACTGTGGCACATCGGAGGTGTTTTGCGACGACAACTTCCTGTTTTATTTTAAAGATGGCGGCGCAGGTATCCCAACGTGGGGTATATAGAAAAATGTGTAAATAGTTACATAACCGTTTTAATTCTAATAGGGTTGTTTAAGTTTCGAATACTGAAGATTCTTAATGTTGAACATCCTTTAGTTTGCGTTCACTGAGTTTGAAATTTAAAGAAAATATTTTTTTAATATATTTGTTGGTCAGTGAACTCCAGACAGTGTTTTTTTTTAAAGTCGTAATGGCTAATTCAACTTTGTTCGTTAGAAATCTACCGACCTCAGCGTGTAGTGATCGCCTGGAGGAGATATTCTCTGAAGTAGGACCAGTGAAACATTGTTTCGTGGTTAAAGAGAAAGGTAAATGCAGTCGATTTATATACATATCTTTTTCCTAACAGGAAAGTTCGAATTTATCTTAATCTTTATTCTAACATGGTTAAATACAGTATTTTAAGAAGATAATGTCGTCGCTGCGGCTATGTACGTAATATTTGAAAGTAGTCTGTCATCTAGAACTGGGTGGAAGGAATAACTGAGCGGTGCAGCTGTTAGATTTATTTTAAAAAAACATATCTAACAACTCAAGAATTACAGAAAATGCGTTGCTAATGAGCCACGTTTACAGACCACCTATTTCTGAAGAGAGATTTAGTGATTCTTGGGAATTCCAGATCTGTGAATGAACATACTACCTGCTGATACTGAAAAAAAAATGCCTCACGTTATTTCATCTATGACACCACAAAAAAAAATCCACACAAGAATCCTCACACAATCCATTATATTACTAACCAGCGACATACTACGATTGAGCACATCATCCTTGTGTGAAGGGCATGCATGAGCTCCCATAGAAAGAGTCAGGCACTGCAAGTTGTTGTGATCCGTAGTAGTTCAGGTGGGTAGCTGCGTCAGCATGCATAGGCTGCAAAGGAACAAGTAATAGGTTTATTCCATGCTGAAAAAAAGAAGAAAGAGAACACAACGTTTCGGCCGTGGAGCCTTCTTCAGGTGTGAGCCTTCTTCAGTTGTTGTGATGCACTGCTCGTGAGCATCTTGTGTTGTGTGATCTACCAAACACGCAATCACACCATTGTTCACTGCACGATCTGCCTCTCCTTCAGTGAATTCAAGTACAAAGCTGTCCCCTTAAATCTGTCTTTCTCAGGGGTTGCTGACTACATGTGATGCTAGCTGGATAGTCAACTGGATAAATAATATAAAGGACACTTAACACTTTTCATCCTACCATTCCTCTGCCCTGGAAATATCCAAAGCACTTGTTTATTTGCTTTAGGTGGAGAAACATGTCGTGGATTCGGATATGTTACATTTTCCATGGAAGAGGATGCGCAGAAGGCCATGAAAGAAATCAAACAGTACGATGGACAACAAATTGTTCTAATGTTGGCAAAGAAGAAACAACACAACAAAAAGAAGAGTGGTATGTCAATAATATATTTTGTAAATTAGTTTTTATATGATTATACATTATTTGTGTTAATAATTAAAGTCAATACAAGTAGTAGTAAAGTAAAGTCGAAGTGGTCAGTAATATTAAAGGATTGCTTTTAGAGATCTACTAGAAATGTTAAATGGCAGATAGACTAAATGGAGATCAGCTCAGACTTTTAGACTGTTCGAAATAGACTTCTAACATCACTAAATGTTGATTGAGTACAGTGTTATGCGGTATTAATTTAAAAATAATTTCCATCTAATTTTTTTAGCTTCCACAGAGCCAGGTCCAAAAAAGCAGAAACCGAAAAGTACGAAGAAGTCCAAAAAGAAAGCAAGGTTGATTATAAGAAATCTCAGCTTTAAGGTAAAGGCCCCTCTAGGATTAACATGCTTTTGTGCAGTTCTTAAACTGACTAGCATAATGTTGCTTAGAGGAAATCATAATGTTATTTGCGCTTGCAGTGCACTGAAGATGATCTGAAGCAATTTTTCTCTAAGTATGGAGCAGTCCTAGAAGTGAACATTCCCAGAAAAGCAGGTAATTAAAGAACTGCATAATTAACATTGCAAGAAGTGATAGCCTGGCATTCATCACAGAACCATATTGTTTAGACTTTACTTACCACAGTTTTCTGGTAAAAAAAGAGAAAACAGTCTAATAACAAAAAAGGGTATGTTTTTGTATTAAACAAGGTACTAGCAACCAAAGAAGCTAGGTTATCCAAATGACCTCTCTTTTATGTAAACTTGTTTATGTTCTTATGAATTATTACACTATTACACTAACATTTTTGATTTTGAACTCCTTTGTGTTCAGTTTTTCACATTTGGGATCAATGAAGAATTTATGCAGTCTGTTAAACTAAACATCATGATCACATTTACCCAGTTTATCCAACTCCTTTGTTAAAATCAGGTGAATACTGCTTTATTTCCTGGTAATTAATATGATTAAATTACTTATAATAAAGCAATTAAAATAATTGAATTGAGAGGAAAAGTCCTTTACCAGAATTTCACACCTAGTTCATATACTGTAATGCAGATGGGAAGATGCGTGGGTTTGCCTTTGTGCAGTTCAAGAACGTCTTGGAGGCTGGAAAAGCACTGAAGGCCACAAATTTGAAGGAGATCAAAGGTATTGAGCAATTTTCTAATATATTTCTTCTAGAAGTCAAATTTCTGCCTTCATTTTAAGAGACAAGCAGAGTAAATATTTAAAGTAGTAGAGATCTGAGCCTCCACTGTAATTTTAACCACTTTATTGTCACAATGTCAATCTTTAGAATGTTTTCATCTCTATTACCTTCACTATTATCATCATACTTAACTAATATTTCTGACTGGCCCATCTTTACTTCTGTGTTATTATTAGAGACACCTGCTTCCTCACTAGTGCCAGTGAGTTAAAGCTGATAAAGTGTAGCAGATGTTTGTGTTTTAGTAATCCTTTGAAGTTTTGGTATTACATCTATAACTATAATAATAGGAGCTTGAGTGGGGAGTTGTCAGCTCATGGGCTGCAAAGGAACGGGTTGATCTTAATTCTGTGCTAAAATCTGAAATTAGAACAACAAAAAACAAGACAAAAGGAAAGCTCATAACAAGAGGAAAGAGAAACCAAGATATCATGAATGCAAGTGCAGTTAAAATAGAAAGTAATTAACCTCTTTTATATACTAAATCCATTTAAAGACATCTATTCTCTATTGTAATGAAAAGGATTTATTTGCATCGGGACAAGACAATGTTTATGAAGATATTCATCTTCCAGAAAGGAAAATTAAAGGACCATTTATGGAGATCATGTATAATATAAGAAACATGAAATATGTTATTGAAGAAGTGTGTGGGTATAGTGTTCAACATTAGAAAATGTGCTATATGACTGTGTTGCATTGGTGGATAATGAAAAACACCCAAACAATGTGTTTTAGCAAATTTCACATTACAATTAATATAATTTTAAAAATAATAAGGATCCTTATTTAGGATCATGTGCAGTATGAAGTGTTCAGTGTTTAATATGGTTTCTAGCTTTAAACCAGTACCTACAGAACAAGACAAACAGATTCAAAATTGAAGAATACGTAAAGCGTACTGGTGACTTTAAACATAATCGAACCCAACTGGACAAAAGTCAAGTGGTCTTAAGGAACAGATTACCTTAATCCCAAACAGAAAAGATGATTCACTAATGCTAGGTTTGTAATTCATGCTCAAGAAGTGAGTACTTCTTATGACTTCAGGGTTTGAACTGGTCAGTGTGCTGAATGTGTGGTGATTCAGTGTCACAGCAGGTACTGGGATTTTTTGGCAACTAATTTTAAGCACCACCTTATATTACAATT